TTCACCTACCTTCCTCAAAGGTGACTGCAGCCTTCAGGATAAACATGGGTAATGCTTAGAACAGGCCTATGAGCAGGCCCAGGCCACAGGAGGGACTGAACCCACCACAGCCAACATGTGGCAATGATGGCTAGTCTCACACCTTTGGAGGAGACTCCCCCTGAGTCACCTGTGGGACATTGGAGAAGTCCCCTGATGCCTCACCGCATTCCTTCCAACACTCCCTCCAGAATTGCAGGCTCAGTCATCAGCCACCCAGGACACCTCCACCCGGGGAAATGAGGCAAACCCTCCTGCCGCCGCCAGCTGTCCTTCCTTGCCTTGTTTTCATCACCCAGGCAAAGCAGGACCTGGAAACTTCCAGAGCCCGCCCTTACCCTGAGACTGCCCCGGTGAAGCCCCATCCCTTTTCTTTTCTTTTCTTTTTTTGATGCTGGGATTGAACCCAGGGCCTTGCACATACTAAGCAACTGCTCTGCCACGGAGCTGCACCCCCAGCCCTATTTTACTTTGAGACAGGGTCCCAAAAAGTTGCCGAGGTTGGTCTCAAAATTGGGATCCTCCTGCTTTAGCCTCCAGAGCTGCTGGGATTACAGGTGTGCACCACCTCACTGGATCTAGTGGTGGCTTCCGGAGTACTGTGGGACCTGCCTTGACCCCACTCCCACAGCCCTCCCTTCTTCCTCTTGTGGTGCCCAGCCTCTCCCAGGTTCCTGCCTGCCCCCAGGGCCATCTCTTCCAACCTAACACTCCCAGCAGCAGTAAGAGGGTCTTGCTCAAGTCCACGGCCCCGGGAGTACCCCTTTGAGGCTCCTGCTGCTCTCAGGAAGACCTGGAGACCCCAGTGCCCTCTCATACCTCTAGTGCCCTCCTTCGTGTCCAGCACACCTCTCTACCCACCTCCTGAGACCCTGTTTCCCTGGCCTTTCTCTGTACTCAGTCCCCATCCAGCCCAGCCTGTGGGGTGCTGGGAGGAAGAGTGCTTAGTACATGTTCAGTGAGGCAAAGGGAAGAAGGAAAGGAAACGGGGAGGAGCAGGGGCAGGAAGAAGGAAGAAGCCGTGCTGCCTTGTGTGACGGCCGAGGGGCCTGCAGCAGGGCGCTCTCAGCCTCCTGGTCAAATCATTCCTGTGGGGCTGGGTTGTGGCTCAGTGGCAGAGCGCTCGCCTGGCATGCACGAGGCACTGGGTTTGCCCTCAGCACCACATAAATGTAAAATGATGATACTGTGTCCACCTAAAGCTAAAATAAATACATAAATACATAAATAAATAGATCCTATGTGAGCGTCTGCTCAGGGATGTCCCCCTGGGCTGGGAGCTCCAGAAGGACAGCAACGATATGGGCCTCTCACCTTGTGGTCACCACAGAACCTGACACTGTCCTGGCACAGAGCCAGGGCTGAGTGATGATGGAGAACTTTCCAACTAGGCAGCTAAGTGGGCAGCACTGGTCAGGCCCTCTGCCAGGGAGGGCAATGCCGCAGGGCACTGTGGGGAAGGACCTTTGACCTGGCCGACAGCCTAGCCTCCTTCTGTAACCTTGGGGCACGCTTCGGGTTGAAAGCGGGGCACCTGCCCTGCCCGCGTGCTCTACCTTCTGGAAGAAGTTGTAAAGCCTGGCCCGGAGGATGTAGATGTCGGCATTGGTGGCGCCCTGCTTCACCTCCTTGGTGATGAGTGAGAGGCAGTCTTGATGCCGTTTGAGGGCCATGAGGCAGGCTATGCTGAGGGTGGAGGGCAAGAGGTGCTTGCTGTCTCAGGGGGAGGGCACAAGGGGCTGCTGGGAGGGAGGCAGGACACAGCTGGCACTCACCATCGGTAGCGGAAGCAGGGTTTGTCGGGCTGGAGCGTAGAGCCTTGAGAGAAGATGTTCAGGGCGTCCAGGTAATCGCATTGCTCATATAAGCACTGGCCCTGGGGACAGGGGTCAGTCAATGCTGCTTGCAACTCTGACCCAGCAGCACCCACCAGTTGGCAGGCGCAAAATTGGGGCAAAAGGGGAGAAACAAGAGATAAGACAAAGCTTTTTAGATCTGGGAGACTTTAAGAGACAGACACACACACACACACACACATACAGATGCAGAGTTGGGGACAGAGAAAGAAACAGTGATTACTACACAGCTGGTGAGAGGCAGCAGCTCGGAGACAAGGATCGGAGAAACCAGGGGTGGAGGAGAACAGCTGAGCGAAAGGAATCTTTGGGGAGCCCTGGGCTAAAAACCAGAACTCGTCATCTCACTGGCACTAGTGAGTGTCCCCCTTTTGGATGAAGGAAAAGAAGTACAGAGAAATAAAGTGACTTTTCCTGAGGTCACACAGGAAGCGTCTATGAAGAACACAGGCTTCCAACAGACAGATTGAACACAAAGTTTGGGTGCCTCAAATGCTTTTTTAAGAACTGTAATTTGGGGCCTTTCAAAAGACAGCAAAGTTGTCAAAATGGAAAAAAAAAAAACAGGATTTTGTTGGTGTTTTATAGTTTACTATTGACTTTGTTTTGAATTTTGAGTTGCAAATGAAGTCCCTACCATCTTTCAGTGCTTATAGCCTTCCACCCTAGATCTGTGCTAACACTACAACAGCCACCAGCTGTATGTGGCTGTATAAATTAAATTTATCTGTATACTTTTTTTGCAATGTGGGGGCTGGAATCCAGTGCCTTATGCATGCTAAGCAAGTGATCTACCATTAAGCTACACCCCAGCCCAAATAAAATTTAAAATTCAGTTTCTCCATCACAGTCGCCATATTTCAAGAGCTTAACGTTTCTAGGTGGCTGGTGGCTGCCATATTGGATGGTGCAGAGCAGACTGTTGTCATCATTTCAGGAAGTTCGCTGGACGATGCTGCAAAGCCCCCATGCCTGGCAGCAAGCTGCCTTGGAAGGTGAGAGAAACAATGGGTGGCGACACAGACACAGGGACAAGGAATCCCCAGGGAGACAGAACTGGTCGCAGGAGCAAGGAAAGCCCCTCACAGCCAGAGGGAGTGAGGCACCCGGGCTGTGAGGTGGAGCACCTGAATGTAGAGCACAAAAGCAAGCCGCTCCAGGTACTTGGGGTTCTCTGGCTGGAAGGAATATGCCCTTCGAAGATTCTGGGCTGCCGAGGAGAAGTCACACAGCTGGATGAAGGCCTCAGCCCTCCAGGCATAGAAGTCCACCTGAAGGTGAGGAGGTCCAGGCTGTGTTCCAGCCCCACCATCTGCCCCTAAGGGTAGGGAGTGGACTCTGCCTCCCCCAGGCATGACACCCAGTTATCAGCAGGTACTTGGTGGTCTTGAAGGAAGGGACCTAGCAGGGTGACAGTGAAGGGGAAGTGTGTGCCTGAGGTTGCTGGTGCCCACGGAGGCCTTCCTCTCACCACATGGGGATCCAGGTGAAGGGCACGGGAGAAGTATAGCACAGCCATCTCCCAGTCCTCTTGCTCCAGGCACTGATGGGCTCGCTGGTAGCTGCAGTGGCAGGAGAGTATAGGTATGGGGCTGGCCCTGACTTTGGAGCAGCCCCGGGCATATGGCTGGGTGGAAGGAGATCAGGCGGAGAGGCAGGAGGGGTAGATGGTACTAGGGAGGGCACTCTGGCATTTCTGGAGCCATCAGCCTTTTATTCACTGAAGTAGAAGGGCCTCATTACAGAGTGGAGTTCACTGAGGCTCAGAGAGAGACAGTAACAGGCTCAAGGTTGCACAGCATGTTAATGGTTGGGGGTGTGGGGCAGGAACCTGAGACAAAATAGTCACTCACTACTCTCTGACTTTGAGAGGCACCGTTAACTTTATGACCTTTGGTTTTATATCATCCAAATCCAGGAACACTTGGCTGGTCCCAAAGATGCGCTTCAGGGTTCCCTTTGAAACTGGAATAACCCGTGGCTTTGGGATGTCCTCTGAGGGGACCTGGTCAATTGCCAGAGCATCCTAGAACCAAGGGACAGCAGGCTGGAGCAGGCCTCAGAGAGGACCCCCACTTACCAGGTAGAGGAGAGTGGAAAGAGGGCTAGTGGTCCCCTGACCCTTAGGGATGTTCCTGCCTCTGTCCCTCTCCTATGGCAATGTGTGGGATCTGGGTCCTCATGCCCACACCATCCTCTGGGCCTTCCCAGCTCTTACCTCCTGCTCTCAGTACTCACAGCGCTAATGTCCCCAGCTCTGATCCTGCCCCAAGTCCCAGGCCATAGGTGTTCTCAGCTCCTTGGATGTCCTATGGGACCCTCAAGGCCAGCAGGTCACGCTGAACACCTCATTGACTTCTGTGCTAGGCTTTCCCACCTGGGCTAGGACCACTTTCTCCACCAACCACCCAAGCCGGAGACCCATGACCCAACAGCTCTCAAGCCCTGTCTGTTCCACTGCCTCAAAATCGGTCAGATGGCTCCTATTCTCTCGTCCCACGGTCTGGGCCAATGACATCTTGGCCTGGACGCCAACTCTGCCCACAAGTCATGAGCTCTCGGTTCTTAGCACAGAGGCCAGGGCCTCTCTGAGTTGCACTACTGGCCCTGCCTCGGCCGTACTTTAAGCCTCTCCTGGGAACTCAGCCCTGGTGTCCCTACCCTGTCCTCTGCCTTGGCTTTAGCTTCTCCCCCAGCCCGCACCTCGCCAGCGTCTTCCATGAGGCCGCTTGAAGGAGGGCACCGACTCCCCTCGCAGCCGGGACCTCTGGCGTTGCTAGGCACCAGCTCCAGGACGCCCGCAGGCTCCGCCCCTTGGCCACGCCCCCGCGACCTGAGGGCTGCTAGAAAATTTAACGGGGAAGGCTGAGGCCGACGGCAAGGAAGAAAGTCGCCAGGCTTCTGCAGCGAGGCAGGGCCACAGCGAGGGCATAACAAGGCTCCCGCCTCCCAGGCCGGTGACTGAAGAGGGTTCCGAGGGTGCCACAAGAACCCCACAGGGCCACGCTGACGCAGAGCCGCGGATCGCGCGGGGGCGACCCGACGCGCCGCCGCCCCGCACTTCCGCCCCTTAGAGGCTGCAAGGCCCCGCCCGGACTGGACGCCCCAGCGCAGGGGGCGATGCGATTGGCCGCAGGCTGGCTGACGTCGCGGGGCGGGGCTCAGGCCCTGAATGGGGGCAGCATGTCGGCGTCCGGCCCTTCGCGCTGGGGGCTGTGGCGGGGCCGGGCCATGAGCCGGCGTGTCTTGGAGCCTCGGTCCCCCGGGAAGCGGTGGCTGGTGAGTGGGGTGTGAGCGGCGACGCAGAGGATCGGGGCCCTGGCTCTGGCTCTGCCATTGTCTCCTGGGTAAAGTTCCCCACAACTCAATTTTAAGTTTTCTTATCTAGAAAATGGACCCTTTTCTCCACGGGCTCCAGCCTTTCAGGAGCTCGGTGCCTGCACCAAGACGCGCTGCCTGCCCGGCCTTCTGGAACCCCCAGGGGTTCCTGAGCCCTTTTTTGGCGCCTCGTCCTCATTCGGGCCCTGCTGTTCATTTCCGTCCTCTGCTCTGGGTCCCAGGGGATGCTGTGCTGTCAGGGGTGGTGAGAGTTGCTGGCCTCAGTTTCCCTGGTGCTGCTCGCAGGTGGCTGGCCTGGGGAACCACGGACTGCCTGGTACGAGGCACAGTGTGGGCATGGCGGTGCTGGGGCAGCTGGCTCGACGGCTGGGAGTGGCAGAAAGCTGGGCGCGCGACCAGCGCTGCACTGCTGACCTCGCCCTGGCCCCCCTGGGGGATGCCCAGCTGGTCCTGCTCCGGCCGAGGCGGCTCATGAATGCCAATGGGCGCAGCGTGGCCCAGGCAGGTGAGTTGAGGTCCCCATGGATGGGCCGGCCCTGAGGACACAGGTCGTGGAAAGTACCTGTTGAGCTCCAATTGCTGCATGACTTGGGTACTTTGGGAGCCTCGGTTTCTTTCCCTTTGAAGTGGGGTTCTCTTTTGGCCCCTCCTTATGAGAACCTGCGTAACACAGCCCTGTGCAGATAGGCAGTAAACAGGACCACTGTTTCCCTGTGCCCAGCTGAGCTGTTTGGGCTGACTGCGGAAGAGGTCTACCTGGTACATGATGAACTGGACAAGCCCCTGGGGAAACTGGCTCTGAAGTTGGGGGGCAGTGCCAGGTGAGGCCTGAGATGCTCAGGGTTAGGGTAGGGATGCTGACCTCCCAGTTGGGGTGGAGAAGGGCTTCTGTCCCAGTCCCCCAGGAATGAGTCACTGTGAACCCATCCTGGGCAGGGTGGGGTGAAAGGGTGCTGACCCAAGGAAGCACTAACTGCTGTCTCATATCCCTTGAAGGGGCCACAATGGAGTCCGTTCCTGCATTAGCTGCCTCAACTCCAGTGTGAGTCTGCCCTTTTGTCCTACACTGGGTGAGGGGTGGCCAGTGGGGTATGCCCAACATACATCACTAAAGCTCTCTGGCCCACCTCTTCCCCCCACAGGCAATGCCAAGGCTACGGGTGGGCATTGGGCGCCCAACACACCCTAGTGCAGTAAAGGCCCACGTCCTGGGCTGCTTCTCCCCAGAGGAGCAGGAGTTGCTGCCCCCGTTACTAGATCGTGCTGCTGACCTGCTCTTGGACCACATCCGTGCACGAAGCCAGGGTGCCTCACCAGGCCCCTGACACCAATGGACACAGCTGCCTGCCTGATTGCTACCCACAAACCAGCTGTGCCACAGAACTGCCATGCCCACCTGTGATGTCCACTTTTTATATAACTCTTCTCTGGGCTGTCCCAGGCCACTTGCAGACTTAAGATGGGGACTGCGGCTGTCTGGAACAGTCCATTTCCAGGATAGGGGTTTGGTCATTTCTCCGCGTGCCACTTGGGATGCAGGAAAACGTCAGGAAGACTAAACTTTTGGAGTTTTTTTAGAGAGCCAGAGGTGTGGGTCTGTAAGATTAAAGATGCTGGCTTGGAATCTGAGGCTTCCTCAGGCAGATCCCATCCATCCCTCTCCAATGGGGTGGGGACCACAGGAGTAGCAAGCAGCCCCCTTCCCAGGGTTGAGTGTGCATGCCTTCGCCCACTAAGGCCCTGCCACACCTTTCTTCAGCCCATTTTACATAAGGGGAGGCTGAGAGAGGTCCAGTCACATCCCTAAGGTCACATGGGTGCAGTCTGACAGAGCCACAATGTACACCCAGGGCTGGCTGCCACCTTACTGTCCTTGGGGCTCTGGCATCCTCACCTCAGAGACACTGTGTGCCCGGGAGGGCTTCATGCGGGTGACGTATGAGAGCTGTCTGAGGTCCTGGGGGTTGGGTGGGATGTGGACCCGGCGAGGCACCAGTCCTAGATCTCCTGGCTGGTAGGGTCTGATGCCACGCAGCTGCTGCAGCAGAGATGCCGCCTTGGGTGGCTGGCTGCTGGGCTGCCTGTGGGAAGGGACTTGGGGTCATTACCTCCACTTCACAGGAGAAGACCTTTGGCTCCTTGGAGAACCAGGCCTCTGGGCCAGGCCAGCTGAGGATATCCTCCAGAATGGGTCTTATGGCTGCCTCTTTTTATTTTGTTGTTGTTACTGGGAATTGAACCCAGGAGCATTACCCACTGAGCAACATCTCCAGCCCTTTTTATTTTTTGTTTTGAGCCAGGATCTCTCTAAATTGCTTAGGCTTCACTAAGTTGCTGAGGCTGACCTCGAACTTGTGATCCTCCTGCCTCGGTCTCCTGGGTTGCTGGGATTACAGGAGTGTGTCACCATGCCTGGCAATGGCTGCTGCTTTTGAAATCACAAGGGCTACCTGCTCACCTTTCCTTGGATGGGCCACCGGACTGGGGCTCCTGGACAGGACATGCAGCTGTCTGGGGTCTCAGGACCATGGCAGAGCTGAGCAGGGCCAGCAGTTGCTTCAGCATCTCCTTGTGCTGGAGCTGGAATACCACGTCAAAGTAGCCATCCTTTTCCTCTGATTGCATCTGCCAGAGGTGGGGGCGGGGTCAGGCCCACAGTGGTTCCAAGTCCTGCCTTCCTCTGGGGATACTTCAAATCCAGTGCCTATTTTCTCATTGTCCCCTCACTGAAATGGGATACCCATTCTCCAATTGGGAACACTGAGGCCTGAGGTTTCCCAGAACCTCAAAGAAGGCATTCAGTTCTTATGAGATCTCAAACGGATTTTGTGTGTGTGTGTGTGTGTATGTGTGTGTGTATGTGTGTGTGCACTGAGGATTTAACCTAGGGTTGCTTTATCACTGAGCTACATCCCCAGCCCTTTTTACTTTTTATTTTGAGACACGGTCTCACTAAGTTGCTGAGGGTCTCTCTAAATTGCTAAGGCTGGCTTCGAACTTGTGATCCTCCTGCCTCAGCCTCCCACATTGCTGGGATTACAGGTGTGTGCCAACACTCAAAAGGGATTTTTGAAATCTATAGAATCAAAAAAGAACAGACTGGCCAGGAGTCTCTCAGGGAAAACAGGCCTCTCAGCTTGGCCCCAGCCTGGCCTCTTCCAGGTGGCCATACTCTTTGAAAACTGTCCTTCCACTCCTTCCTGCTGCCTCCTACTTTCTTGTACCTGCAGAATGTCCTGTAGGAAAATGGTGGCCCGGTCCAGGCTCATCTCCAAGGTTTCTCGAAACTTCTGCTCCTCAGTCAGCTCCTGCTGCAGCTGCTGTACCTCCGCCTGCTGCTGCCCCAGCTGCTGTATCAGCTGGTCTCTCTGGTCCCTGGTCCAGGGCGAGATGAGCCAGCAGCTTATCCCATTCCTGGGTTGTGACTGGCACCACCTGGGCCCTGCAATTTCTTTTTAGCCTATCCACACCCAGGCCTCAGCTGTCTGACAGACAAAACCTTGACGCCCCTATAGAGAGGGGAAGTTGTGGGCCTGGCCACGTGGCTAAACCGGATGTGCCCACCTGCTCCCAGCCCTCCATGGTAGGCACACCTCAGGGTCTGGTTGTCCACCTGCAGCTGCAGGAAGCTCTGCTTCAGTTCGTGCAGCAGGAGACGCAGCCGCTTGGCCTCGGTGGTACCCTGCTGATGCTCACGGCACTTCTCAGTCAGCAGGAGGATGATCTGTAAGAGTGGGAAGGTGGCCACTCCCAGACCCACCACAGGACTTCAGTTCACTCTGTACCCCCAGTTCTAGGCACGGCCAAGGCTTGCCCCCCTATACAGAGAGGCCAGCACCACTTCTGAACAGGAGCTGGGACCCCCCCCCCAAGGATGCCCTGTCCCCTCAATGTGCTGCTCTCCTTTATCACTTGGCTCCAGGCTGTGGGCACCCAAGGGCTTCAGGTGCCAAATGCAGGCTCACCTTCTGGTGGCCTCTGCTGCTCCTGGCCATGGCCTTCTGTGTGTTCTCCATCATCTCCAGCTGCTTGTGCAGCTCGCACTGGCTGCCCTTGAGCTGCACGTTCTCCTGCAGCAGCTGCATGCCTTGCTGGGACACCTTGGCCAGCTTCAGGGTCACAGTGCTGTTCTCCCTGATGGCCCGCTGTGTGGTCTCCCACATCTGGTTGGTGGCCGCTTTGCGGAATTCAGTGGCCACCAGGTTCACGCGTTGGATGATCTCTTTCCTCAGCCTGGTTGATGTGGGAGTGGAGGGTCGGGTAGATGGATGCAGGCCCTGTGCTCCCCCTCCTCTGCAGGGGTCTCCAGAGCACCCAGGGCCATTAAACCCCTCTGGGCCTGGGCAGGAGGCTTTTCCCATCGACCCTCTGGGATTCTGGAATTTGAACCTTTGCACTGTATTAATTATTACCTATTAAATAAATGTAACTTGAATCACAAGAAGTGGTAAAAGGAAATCCAGGACTTCTCCAGTCCAGCCTGAGGACTAGAGCTGGGATCTTACTTTCTCTCCCCTTCACAAGTCCCAGCCAGAGTTCTGGGAAGCAGAGGCTGGGGAGTCACTGGCCTAGTCCAGTCTCCCCAATTAGAAGCTGAGGCCTGAAGACTGGGATCTGTGGCCCCAGCGCGGTGCCCAGCCTACTCACCTGTCCTTGTCCAGCACCGACTTCTTTTCCAGGTTGTACACATGGTCCTTGTGTTCCATCTCCTGCCTCAGCAGCTGGTCCTCCAGTGACATGAACTTCTCCATGAGCTCCTCTTTCTGCAGCCGGAACTCCTCCAGGGCTGCCAGCTTCCCCACTGCCCACCAAGGACATGGGTCTATGAGGGGCTGCCTTGGACGACCTTGAGTGACGCCCCTCGGGGCTCCACCGTCCTGTCCGTGCCCCTCTGTCCTGCTTCAGCAGGGCGGCCCCCCGGCCCTGCACACTCCATGCCCAGTCTCGCCCATCTCTGGGATGCCCCCCTCCCCCAGTGATCTTGTTCAGGTTCCAGAAAGGCTCCCTTGGTCCTGTCCTGTACTCCCTTCATGAGAGCAGTGGTGACGCAGCAGCTGAATTGAGCACCTTTTCCAGGCCCAGCTGTCACTTGAACTTCATAACACCCCCTGCCAGCTGGGTGGTCTTGCAAGACCCTCCCCCTTTTCAGATGCTTCCTTATCTACAAACGGGAAGGGGGAGGATAGTACTTCCAGCTTCATAGGATTTATAGGGACCTTTGCGGGAGATACTGCGTGTAAAGTTGCACACATCTGCTGTTAACTCAAGGTAGCCATGTTATTCCCATTTCCCAGGTGAGAAAACAGGGTCCCAGAGAAGTGCTTGTCGCAGGCCACACATACTGTCAGTGGCAGAGCTGGGACCCAGCCGTATATTCCCTGCACCTGCAGTACGTGCCGCAGGCTCTAGCCAGTCCCCTCCTCACCAAGGATGATGTTCTCTGTGGTGAGCTGGTCCTTGGTTTCCTGGAACTCATGGCGCACCTGGGCCAGCTGGGCCTCAAAGGCGTCCTTCTCCATCTCCTTTGCGAGCTGTAGGCTCTGCAGCTGCTCGTTGAGGTCTGTGATCTCATCCACGCGCTGGTTGAGCGTGCGCTTGAGGAAGGCCACAATCTCCTTCTTGTTATTAGCCAGTTGTTCAAACTCCTGGCGGAACAGCTTCTCCTGCGCAGCCAGCTCATCCCACTTCCGCTGGTACCTGGGGCCAGAGGAGGGCAGAGGTTCAGGGTCTGGCCAGGCAAGCCAGACCCCTAGGGCAGCTGGGTCCACTCTCCCAAGTACCCTCCAGGAAAGGGGCCCTTGAAGTTCCTCATGGTCTCAGTCCATCCCCATCTCCCACCGAGCCCCTGTGTTGGCCGTCAGGCCTTGGCTTGTTGCATCGGGTACATCACTAGGATGTGAGCCCTAGAGGGCTGAGCCATTACTTTGCTCATGGCTGTGTCCTCAACATTTGTGCCTGGCACTTAGTAGGTGTGCATTTGTGGAGTAATACTGAGTCCTCCCAACAGCTTATAAGGATGTAGATGTTGTGACGATGACACCCAATGTATAGAGCTCAGAGGATCGAGCAGCTCCTAGTTGGCAAAACCAAACTTGAACCCCAGTCTAACCTGAAAATTGAGGCTCTTGGGTGCAATGCCTCCTGCTGCATCAGCCAGCTCTGCAACTCCTCAACACACCCACAGTTAAAAACCCACGCTCTACCAGCTGTCTACCTGTGTTCACCAAGTAAGCCCCAGTGTTGGTGGAGCTTTCTTGGCTCTGAGCCACATGGTCCTGTCTTTGGTGCCCTCCTGTAGGTTGGCTGTTGTCCCACTCGGTGGTCAAGATCTAATGACATGCCCTTCTCCTCCACTTGGCAGACCCTTGACCTCATCCACCTCTGTATTGTCAGAGACTGGAAAATAGTGAGCACCCAATAACTGTCTGATAAATGCATTTTCCTGATACATCCCGTCTGGTGTCTCAGCTCGAGGGAAATTTGTAGCTGTTAAGACTGATTACTAGTTTCAAGTGGAATAATTGACCTTACTTGGGAAGTTGTAACTTTTCGAACCAGCATCCTTTGAATGGCTACTATGGGAGGAGCGAGCAGATGGCTCCTTTGTGGAGTGAGGAAGCAGCCTGGTGTGGGGGAGTCAGACCAGGGCTGTCATCCTGGTGCCTCTTTTTCCTGGGGGTGGCTTCCCCTCTCTGAGCCTCAGTCCCCCAGTGCATGCAGTAGGAGTGCAACAGGACCTCTCTCAGGTCGTGAGGACGCGGTGATGCCAGCACAGGGCCCTGCGTGAGCTGTGATTATCTGCAGCATCACTCTAGGGAACAGCCACTGCCTACTTGTCTGTAAATGTCACCCTGAGGCTGGGGCTGGTGCCTCATAACTGGGAGGAAGCTCGATTTGAAATAAGAAAGGTGATGGGAAAATCAACCATCTCTGAATGCAGGGTTAGAGGATCCCTTCCCACCATCCTCAGCACACACAAAACTGGCCCTCAGATCCACTGTCACAATTGTGGAGGGGACTCAACGCTCTTCGTTTACATTTGGGGCGACAGACTTGACAGCAGGGAGAAACACTGGGACTTGGCAGCTGGGCAGAAGACACCACTTCAGGAGATGGGAGGAAGGGGACTGGCCCACCCACCTGTCATTCCAGTTCAACCTGCTCGTTAAACTCCACCCCTTTACAAAGCGCAAGATCCCGAGGGGCTGGAGAAAGGCAGGAGGGAATGGGCTGGTCTGGGGTGCAGCTCCGAGTCAGCCTTGTGGTCCTGGGACTCTGGAAGCTGAGATGCAGTAGGGGAGGGGGGTCCATTTACCATTTTTTTTTTTTTTTTTTGCAGTACTGGGGGTTGAATCCCAGGCATAGCATGTTAGGCACATGCTCTGCCATTGAGCTACCTCCTCTTCTCAAAATTCTCAAAATTCTGATGTTTCCCAATGTTGGCTATTAGGAATCAGGCCTGGGGGAGGTGGGGTCTGTACATGCCATGGAGTCCAGAACATAGGGCTAGGCCCCCTAGCCAAGCTTAGGGGGGCTTCTGACCCAGCAGCGCCAGCATCCCTGCCACCCACCGGGCCAGCCTGTCCTCCAGGTCTCGGATCTGGTTAAGGTAGAACTCCCGCATCTCCTCTGCCAAGGGCCCTTCCACGATTTTGATGGTCACCGTGGTATCCTTCTTGCCCTTCTTCTTCTTGACATCAGAATCCTTGCCTCCAAAAATTGCCTTCTTTTTGGAAGCCATGGCTAAAGGCAACCCTGTTCAAAAGCCGCACTAAGAGGCCTAGTGGTTGCTAAGGAAGTTAGGCCCATACATAGCAACAGCCTGACTAAGTGAGGCTGGGCTTAAAGGGCCCCTGCCCTTTTCCTTGCTGGGTGCCTATGTCCAGCCTCCCCTCCAAGGCAGACAGCATGACTGGGATCCTAGCCTGGGGTACCCCAGGCAATGACAGATCAGGATGACAGGCTCTGGGGTACACTTTTGGGTTCTGGGAAGATCTTTCCTTCCCCCAGTTGGAAATAAGTGATGTGGGAAATTAGAGTGGTCAGGGCCCTGGACACCACCAGCCTACCCCTCTGAGTCAATCAGAAGATGGAGGACCAGAGAGGGGTGGGACATCCTGTAGCCCCCCCAAGACTAGAAGGAGCTAGTCACCTGGCTCCCAGCCCAGACAGTGCCTCCCCCCAGGTCCCTAAGAAATTCTTGTTAGTGCAGCGACACCACAGTCTTTCTATTGGCTCAACCGAGTGGAGAGAGCGATGCAGTCTGGTAAGAAAGGGCATTTCACATTGGAAGCTCCTTGCTGGAACCTTGGGACATCCTTTTGTGGAGGCTGGTTTCATTTCTACAGTGCTTAGTGGAGATGGTCCATTTGTCCAATGCTGACCCCAGACACACAGGCCCATTTTATAGCTTTGGCCTGGGTGGTGCATCACAGGGGACGACAGCACCTGGGGAGGGGAACCAGCATGCTGAAAGAGGGCACAGAAGGTGTCTAGCTGGCGGCTGCCCTGGCTGGCAGCTGTGTGCCCCAAACAGGCTCTGGCCCCTTTCTGCCCAGCATTGATCTCAGCCAGTCATGCCTGTTTGCTTGCTTGTGTCCCCACAGCCAGGCACACTCTGACAGTGACCAGGCCATCCCTGTTGTCTCAATGTTGTCTTACAGGCAAAGGTTCCAGCTACAAAGGTCCCAACAGAACAGGTGTGGCCACTGTCCCAATATGCCCATCAAAGTGACAAGCAGTGGCAAAGGGCAGGAAAGGAACTTAGCGTGGATGTACTGGGGAGAACAGATTCAGAGGGACGGGGACTGCAGATCTGTCTTTGAGGGACTGACGGAAACCTTGGGGTTTTACAGAAAAGGAGAAGAAAGGCGAGGGTGGTGTGCACATACATGGCTGGGGGTTGTGTAGCTAGGGCCACCTTGGTCTTTGTCTCAGTTCTCGTTCTGCATGGTGGCTTCAGGAAGTCCTAATCACCTGAGGGGGCCATCTGCTTCCCAGGAGGTGATTGCTCCACTGGGGGGGGGGCAGCCTCAATCCTGCCAAAGGGCATTGCTCCCATTTAGCAGGGGGATCTCACAGGGTGATATGTCTGCAAGGTTCTGCTGTTTCTGAAATCCAAAGTGACTGCAGGTGTTGGGCAATCTCTGGAGACATCCAGGTGCCACTCCAGGGGGTCTAGAACAGGACACTGTAAAAGCTGGCAGTTGACTGTCCCTGCAAAGCTTGAAAATATCTCTTGTTATGCTGTCCTCAGTCTTAAAGGAAGACAAGATAGGTTAGGTCAATTTAGGGCCCATGAACCTCATATTCCACTTCCTGAGTGATTGGCATGCGTGCGGAGCTGAGCTGGTACCTGACCCAAAGTTTGAGGTAATGGAAGTGACAGACACGAGCTGAAGGCAGATATGCCAAGTTTTTTTCCTGTCATTCATTACCCATTGGTCATCTGACGACCCAAGTGAAGAGTCAAGTGATTTTAGCAAAAGCAGCTCCTAATTCCGTTCTGCCAGGGTTTGGTACCCAGTGAGAGATGGCCATGGCTCCATCTATAGTGGATAGGGAAAGTCCAGTAGTTCTGCAACTGTGGTGGTCTGAGCAGCTAGATCTTGTAAGCAGCGGGATCCTTGGAATGAGGGTAGGAGTGAGGACACTTTGGGGCTCAAGCTTGGGTGCTGTTTTTCACACTGGTACGACCTTGGGCCTGAAATCTGAGCTGTACAGTGGGGAGACTATGCTGTAGACTGAGCAAGACCTTGTGTAGAAAGTCCATAGCACAGGATGTGGCCCCAGGTAGCGGAGGAACTGAGTAGTAGCCGCCAGCACTGCCATTAGCAGGGCCAGCCTGCCAAGCTCCAGCCTCTGGAATGTCCAGTCCTCCGGTACCTTCAGCCTAGCGTCTGTTCCCTGCAAGCGGGGACAGCCCTGGGAGGGCAAAACGGCCTGGCAGAGGGAAGAGGACCCACACTTCTGTGGGGCCTCCCCATGTGCACACATGCAATAGTCAGTAGACTGCCCAAAGCAATGCTCTCCCACCCAGACGTGGCCCTCTTCTGGACCCAAGCAGCTCCCCCTGCAGAAGCCTGGCCAGTGAGGGTTCTTGGCGCTCCGTCTGCCCTCCCTGTGTTCCCCTCCTTTCCTTCCTCTTTTTCCTGAGGCTCATCACAAGGGGTGAATTCCCAGTGGTGGGGGCCAGCAATCCCCCAGGCAGCCTGGAGGCCATGGAGGGTGTCAGCTTTGAGAACTGCCTTCCCCTCCTTTGTCAGTGTGGGTCGCTGGGGTTGGGGGCAGGCAGGGCCTGCCTATCCTATAACTATAGTCACATTGCAAGAGTGACCAGCTGGGCTTCTAGGCCAGCCTTCCAGGTGGGAGAGCCCAGAAGGGGACTCTGCAGGTGAGGCTGCTGCTTCCTGGGCTTGCCTTGGGAGCTTCCCCAAAGCTCCCTGTCCCAGGCCACAAGCCATCACCCACTCCAGGCAGGCCTTCACATTGCTGCCTCTCTGGCTCCTTCTTCTCCCTCGGGGCTGATCCTGAGAGCCCAGAGCTGCTGGAGCTGCTGGACCACAAAGTAGCAGCCCCCTAGCAGCTGGGCCTGTGGAGTCCTGTGGTGCACCCAGCCCAGCAGACTGTGGCATCAGCCCAAGGTGGCAGAGGTGGCCTGGGGTTCTACCATCTCTGGGAGGATCTGGATGCAAGGACACTTAGGAGGCCAGGCATTACTGAGCAGGCGCTGATGTTTTGTCCACCTCTGGAGCAGGTGACATGGTAACACTGTCACAGGAGAAGAGGTGTCTCCAAGGAAGGGCCTGAGGAATTCCCAGAGAGAAGGGGGAACTTGATTCAGGACCAGCCGGGTTCTTAGCTATGTGACCCCAAAGAATTTCAGGCGGTCAGACAGAGGGTTATTTAAGAAAGTAGATACACAATCAAGCGAGAAGGTGGGCAACTCAAGAGAGAGATGCATTTTGGGTCCTAGCTCTTTAAAGGAAACTTGGTGAGGGGTGCTGTGGGACGGTGTGCAGGGACGGTGTCAGTCCAGCTGTCTCCGGACAGCTCCTGGTGGTCTGGTCATTCGCAGCCTCCTGGGTTGACAAGGCTTTCATCATCTGATCCAGTAACACTGGAGAGTCCCCTAAATTATAGGTTTCCCAAAATATCAGTTCTCTCTGCCGGGGTTAAACATGCAGGGACTTACAGATTTCTCAGGGATGATATGCTGAGAGTCGAGACTAGCCTGGAAAAGTCTGTGGAACTTCCGGATTACGAATTTATTTCCTTGTCCTTCCTTTTGTCTCCTCTCTGCCTCCTTCTTATTCCCTGTCTACCTCAACACAACCTCTAGGGGGTGTGTGTGCGCGGGTACCCGTGCGCGGTACCCGGCTGGCAACCCCACCAGGTAAGTAAGCTGTGGCCGCCTGTCCCTTCTTGACTGCGTTCCAGGAGGAAGGCTGGCACACCGCGGGCTGGGGTGTGCCCCTTAACTGAATGGGATCTTGAAGTATCCAGGGGTGGGAACCATGGGTGCAGGTTTGATGGACTCTCCCCAGCAAAACAATTTCAGGGGTGAAGATTATCATTATTTTTTTTCCCCAAAGAAATAATCACTGAAACTCTCCAGCCACGTGGGTTGGCACACACCCGTAATCCAGGCTACTTGGGAGGCTGAGGCAGGAGGTTCCCAAGTTTGAGACCCTGCCTCAAAAGAGGGTATGCTGGGGGTACAGCTCAGCATTTGAGAACTTGCCTAGCATGAGCAAGGCCCTGGGGTTCAATCTCCAGAATCGGGACAATAAAAAAGTCTCTAGAAAGTATTTTAAGGGCATATAGTAAATGGAGAGATATTCATTTGAGAAAATCTACCACTTTTCACAAGAATATGCCCGTGGTACTGAGTAATAATCCACTCTCTTACCTGAAGTGGCACATTAAAAAAAAAAAAAAACAGTGATCCCTTAGTATCTGAAGGGTGGGCTTGCTTCCAGGACCCCCATGATACCAAGATCCATGGGTGAAGTCTCTATAAATGGTGTAGTGTTTGTACAGAACTATACAATCCTCCCCTATCCCTTGAGTCTTCTCTAAATGACTTATCCTACCTAATACCCAGTAAATGCTATGAAACAGCTGCCACACTGTGGTGTCCGGGGAATAATAACAAAGTCTGTGCATGAGGACAGGTGCAGTCCCCCCCGCTGGGTGTTTTCAAATTGGTGGAATCCAGGACACAGAACCCATCATAGGGAGGCCCACAGTATACATTTGGTCTCTGTCCCTGGTTCCCAGCATGAAGCTCCTAAAACCCTCAGTATTTCCTGAGTGATAGTGGCCTGGATTGCTCAGAACCAATCCCTATTAGCCATGCCTGAGTTTATGCTAATGAGGTGGCTCATTGTGGAGGGGGACTTCTGGGATGGGGAGCCATCTAGATGCCCCAGCACAGGGTCGGAGGGTTGGGCCCTTCAGCTCTCCCTCCCAACTTCCAAGGTGGGGAGAGGGGCTGGATATGGAGTTCCATCACAGGGACCAGTGATTTGGTTAATCATGGCTGTGCAGGGAGACTGCCACAGAAACCTGTCAACAGCAGGTCTTGGGGAGCTTCTGGGTCGCTGAACACCATGTGGTGTTGGGGATGGGTGGCTGGAGAGGGCAGGAGGCCCTCGTGCCCCTCTCTCCACTGTACACGGTGCTATTCTCATGCCAGCCTCTTCCTGGGCTGTGTCCTTTATGACAGACTCTGGATGGAGGGTGAAGCATTCGCCTAAGTTCTGTAAACTGTTCTAGTGAAT